TTCAGAGGAATTCTTTGGCTTGTCATTTCTTCACCAGCAAATAATCTGGCAGGGGAGACATGAGGGACTGTTAGCAAATGTCATCCTGCAACATAATTTTCAGGACCATGTGTGACTAGCTAGTTAGTGGGCATAATGTGTGTGCATATGTGCTGTCCCTCTTCCCTCTACCCTACTGCCACCTTTTTTTCTCTCCTATCCTGCCATCTTCCCCCTCTTTGCTAACTGCAGAATGTTAATGTTAATTAATATTAATTGCTCCCTCACTATGATACATTCCCAAAGGGCCATAGTACTGCTGATGCTCTCCTTTCAGGTAGGGTGTCTTCTGTTTCTTGCCTATGTGAATGCTGGGCACAAGCTATGTCATAATATATCTCCCAAAACTGGCACTTTAAATACTCTTACACAGTTTCCCGAGGCAAATGGCTGCTATGTTGAGTAGTTTATTATGCCTTATTATATGTTTCAAATCTTAACACTGTAAGGCAAGTAAGCTATGATAACACTGTCCTGCCTCAGCAGTACTGTGCATGGAATTCTAGTGAAAAAGCTGGTAGTGCAAAGATACCTTTTAAAGCTAAGTCTTTTGCCACCAGGATCCTGTTGTTAATTTTGAGCTGCCGATGCACTTGGAGCGGTGGTTCCCTCGTCGTGTGGTGAGGAGCAAACGGGAAGAAATTCGAGACCTCATCTTGCAACTGCACTTGCAACAGCAAAGTGGCAGCAGCAGCTAATGAATCTGTTCAGCCAAACCTGGCAAACATTACTGAATAAAATACTGGAAAGCTGCTTAGAAGCATTTAGACTCTCCCTCGTGAGACCGGAAAAAAATGCCACATAGTATTTTTATTTGGTTGGTTGTTGTAAGTTTATTCTGAGGCTTTATTTTTGAATCATATGGGGCTGGGGGCAGGGTGTAGATAAAAAGTAAATATGTAATTTAAAGTTAATATTTGTTGGCTAACTGAATTTTCACTTGGAATCTGCAAGCAGCATACAGGTATGTGCTGCAAAGATTTGAAAATATTTTAATTCTAAGGAGTGAGTTCTTCTCCGTTTGTTACATTCATGTAACTCTGGGAACTGAGTGAGCGTATAGGTGTCATTTGTGATGCCTCCTTGTTTAATGTGATGATCTCAGACCTGTATTGTAACTTTTCCTACTTTGCAATTCTCGTGTATAGTATGAATACTATGTATTTTTTAGTTTGAGAATACAGTACTGAATCTCTTTAGAGATGCATTTTGTGGTATACTGTACTTTTTAATAAACTGAGTCAGGAGTAACCTGCATCCAACAGACCAGCCTGTTGAGTTGAAATTGATGTTTAAGTGTTTCCATCATAAAACTGACTTTCAAAGGAGTTGAAAACATATGTTCCAGGATGAAGCTAGAAGACTTGCAAGCTGAAAAGTAGACTTTCCTCTATATTTTTAGATCCTTTTTTTTCTTTAACCAGAATTGTATAACATGGCCTTGATTTTAAAATATAAATACATGCTGGTTGCAAGGACACTAAATTAAATCTTTCTCACCTTGCACTTGTGGGTTGTCCTATTGACTCTGACAGGATGACTTACATGTGACTAAGACAAGCAAGGTTTGGCCCACAATGTTTGTTTATTTGAATGGCTTTAATGTGACTGCATACGTATTCAGGGTCCACTCCTGCAACTTTACTGATGGGAGTTAGTCCTATTGAATCCTACTAAGTAAGGCCCTTAGATGTTTGTGTTTGAACTGGACCTTTATTTGATAAGCTAGAACAAGTATTAGTATATCTATGTAGCCAGTTTTTCAAGTAGTAGTACATCAAAGAAAGGTTTAATGAGCTTGTAATATATGTGTATTTCTCCCATGGTCACTAATAGGAGTTAGGTAGCTGTGTTGAGAAGGAGCTTTCTTCTGTTCTCTGTGGTAAGTCAGTGCATGTTTCAGAGCTGCATTTGAAAAAAAATTGTATTTCAATTAATCACCAACACCACCTCCCCTACCTGTGTATTAAAGCAGCATTGCAGCTAAGAGCCAGAAAAAGTTGGAGCCTTCAAAGCTGAGAGTGAACTCCAGAGCTAAAATGAAGATGGAGGAAAGCCCAGAAGCGTGTTGAATTCCCCTAAAACCAATGTTCAGGGCCAGATCCTCAGCTGGTATAAAGCACTGCAATTCCATCGACTTAATGTATGTCACTGAGAAGATCTGGTCTTCATTGTTGGAGTGAATTCAGCTGAGAAATGCATTCTGCCTCAAACCAGGAAGTACAAGATGGATTTTATGGACTGAGGAAAAATATTTTTAAACCATGTTTCTTTGAGTGCCATTATCTTTGCCTGTTTTCAGCCATCTTCGTAAGAGCAGTGAGCGGGCTTAACTTCATTTCCATTTTAGTTTTCACTAGCCCCTTCGAACTTAAATGTCATTTCTGATTTGTATGGGTTAAGAGCACGAGTCTTAGTTTCTGTGAACAAATGTGGTTTTCCTTACCTTAACCACAGCATCAGAATGATTAAAAACTTTTACATTTTTGTATTTATTGTAAACATGGATAAAAGAGTAAGTAAGTATATATGCTCTCATTAAACTTTTTCAGTTGATGGGTACTTTTTTCTTGTGAGCCTGTTAAAGTAGTATAATAAATTGGGGGTTTTTTTACTTCAGTAAAATTGCTTTTCATCATAAAATAGTACTAGTGCTCTTCTAAATGGGCTTGTTCGTACATTTTTTAAAATAAAAGGAACAGTCTTTTAAAATAATTTTTATGACATTAAAATCTTCATTTCGAATTGATGGAAATGTGTTTTGAGAATGCCAGTGTTTGATAATAAAAATCTTTAAATGTTGTTGGACTTGATTGTTCTCTTTTTTAAATACCCAAGCTTATATTAACTCACTGGTTATCTAACAGTTTGTCACCTACTACCATATCTGTTAGCTCATGTGGTGTTTTTTGGTTTGCCTTGGGGTTTGGTGGTTTTGGTTTGTTTTTTTTTAATTTGACATCTCTAATTTTGGGCATGGCTATTCGAGTTGTTGCTATTGAGCTATTAAGAGGATGTTTTGATAATTCACAACTTTAGTGAAAAACATTGGATTATTTTTGTTCAGATTGTTGACCCAACAGGTCAGTTTTCTGCCACCCCTGTAATGGAGTGAAGCCTCAAACCTATTTATATGTAGTCAGCTAGGAGTCCTCTGGTTCAGCCAGCCATACTGCCTCCCCCTCTCAGTCTTGCTCGCATAACGGATGTGCTGTGAGTGAGAGGGAGCGTGGCTGATAGCATTGAGCTCTAGAGATCCCTGATTATCCAGTGGCATTTTGGGAACCATTGAAGATAACATTAATTAGAACCACTCTGCTGTGACTTGCATCAGGGACTGAACTAACGCAACCACCTTAGCCCACATATTCCTTACCCCTCCAGGTCTTGTGTCAAGCACAGTATAGTAGATCCAGGGGATACAAGTTAAAAAAACTACAGTTCATAGCAAATATCTGTATTCTGCATATCTAACTTTGGCACTAGCATGCTTTTCTCTTTTTAAAAACCTATAGTTTACAAAATATTGGTCTATTTAAATGGAAGGTCAGCAGATTCTGGAGTGCCACACCAGCAGTGAAAGCGGGTTTCAGAAGATGGGAAAAGCTTTGGCATCAAGTCACGTCCAGCAAATCACCACAAGAGTAACCCAGCAGAAACAGGTGAAGATATGAAGCTTCAAGAAATAAATCCTTGGTTAAAATGTGTAAATAACTAATCATCAGCAAGCATCAAAGGTCTGAGGTAGTCATACCTCAGGTGTGTGTTTTTAAAAAGTGTTTGTGGGTTGCTGGATTTGTCCATTGGAATGGAAGGCATAGACCTCTTGTAAATCACCCATCTTACCTAAGACCGAAGTTCTAGATCTAAACTCTGAAATTAACTTTTTTAGCAGATCCTTGTTATACCCCACAAGTGAAAAAAATGGGGAAAAATCACAGACAGCACTCTTACCTTGATAGTGGCAGAGAGGGCTGTACTGCATTAGGCATCTGCAGGGGAGCCAAAAGGATCGTCAGACACATGAGCAATGTGTGTGTGTGTGTGGGGGGGGTGGCAGCTCCGGGCTCCCAAAAGGGATGGGGCCTCAGAATAGGTGGGGTTCAACCAGCCCCCAGTGCTGCCCAGACGTTGCAGCATGCCCCCTTTTCTCCTCCCCCCTCACCCCAGCTGGCCCTCAGCATACTGTATGGCACTTTGGAGGCAATTCTAAAGGTTCTGGAGCTCCAGCAGCTGCCACCAGGTTTTTTTGAATCCCGGGGCCCTAGATCAGTTGACCCCTTTACTTCCCCACCCCACTCCTGTCAGCAGGTCTGGGCCTCTGTTTGCAGATTTAAGATCAGCAAACTAGTCAGAAAGAAAAGGCTTCGCAGGGACTGAAAAAATTTTCTTACAGAAAATAGCCATATTGGTGCTAAAAATATTGTGACAAGGTAAGTGCAGGCAGTCTGCCATGATTTCATTCAAATTACTGAGCAAGGTGAAATGTGTGGTCCAGATCATCAGCTCCAAAGAGGAGAAAGACATAGGGTGCGTCTAGACTACAGACTTTTGTCGACAGAAGTTTTGTCGACAGATACTGTCGACATGCTTCTGTCGACAAAGAGCGTCTAGACTACATCCAGTTCTGTCGACAAAGCAAGCCGCTTTGTCGATGTGACAGTGTAGACGCAATAACGCCTTCTGTCGACAAAAGGAGTTATTCCTCGTAGAATGAGGTTTACCGCCGTCGACAAAACTGCTGAATTCTGTCGACATGTCCACAGAACTCAGCGGCAGTGTAGATGCAGGTATAGTTTTGACGAAACCCTGTCATCTAAACACACCCGAAGACTTAAACGTTTAAAGGGCAGATTAAATGTAGAAGTGTTAGAAATGAAATAGTTTACTAAATTAATCTAAGTTGCTGCTGTTTACTCAGATAACACACAATATGTTTCTGAGGAGGTTGGAGTATGATTCAGATATTGATTAAAGCGTAATCAGATTCCTAGGAATCCAATCACATGAGACAGTTCAGAAGTTCAGTACTTGAACCATGAAAGAGGGGGAAAAGGAGGATTCTACAGAGACCTAAGTCTGTCTTAGACATGTTAATCAGTGACATGTTCCCTTGGCCATATCTTTAATTCACAGTGTTTATTTTCTGATAAAGCATCTTCCTTTTCATGCTCAGCAGAAATTGTAGTTGAAACATTTCTATATTTTTGTGATGTGTTAATTTGAAAAATATATTTGTTTTCTTCATGAACAACAAATAGCAATAAAGAAATTATTTTAAAACTCTGCACAGTATTATGCATTCAACAGGTTTCAGTTTCACTACAGGAAAATTGTAACAAAAATAATATACTTGCGTCTTAGCAGTCACTCAAAGACAATTAAAAGCAAAACTAAGTGTTAGAGCTATCAAGGTGATAGATATATTTGCTGATACACATGAGAAATGTAATGATAATCAAGATTTTTTTATTTGAAGTGCCACCTGAATCTTGGCTTCTAATTTCTTTTGGTCTTAAATTTGGCATATGTGTTTTTCAGCAAGTATGAATTTTTAGGATCAAATGTAAAAATATTTGGTTTAGCCATCAGAGTTCTAAAGTACAGGCAGTCCCCGACTTACGCGGATCCGACTTACTGGCAAAGCCTCAGAAGCGCGGGAACCTGCCCGCTGCTGCCGCTTGAGTCCCGGTGCCTGT